CTGTCACACAATGCTGATGCGATAAAGTCATATGCCATGAGCCTGGACGGCTCCAGGAGCGGGCGACCGCGGGATCTTGTAACAATCCTAATCCTAATCCAAATCCTAATCCTAATCCTAATCCTAATCCTAATTCTAATCCCCCCACACAGATTGCGATGGGCACGTTCATAGTGTCGTTCATCGGGAACAGCTTCGTCGCGGGCGCGCTGGGCACGCAGCCGCTGCGGTGGCTGGTGCCGGACACGGACAAGCAGCGGCGGTTGCTGGTGGTGGCGTTCTTCACGATCATCATCGCCTCCATCACGTGAGGCCGCGAGCATGCGCGCGCGCGCTCGCGCGTGCGTGTGTGTGTGTGTGTGAACTTGTGTACATATCAGTGAGGATGCGTACTTTTGTGTGTAAGTGCGTGTGTGTATGGGTGTGTGTGTGTGTTTGTGTGGTGGAGGGGGAGATTGGTGACAGGTGATTTGAATGGGTTGTTGTGCAATTGCACAAAGCCGCGGTCGCGCTGGCGGTGCAGTGCGTGGGCGGCGCTGCGTGGGCCAGCGCGTGCGGGTTTGTGGCACGCGCGCGTTTGTGGCGAGTAGAAGAAAGGGCAGTGGCAGGGGCAGGGGGGGAGCTGGGGGCGAGGGAGAATCGTGGTTGCAACTGTCGTGCTGTGCAGCCGCACAGCATGGATGATTTCGATGTGAAAGGGCTGCTTTGCCGGCCGCTCTCGCCCGCCGCCGCGCGCAGCACGCCTCCCCTCCTCCCCACCCACCTCGCCCGTCCCCGCCGAGCCCTGCCCGCCGCGCCCACGAACCCCTCCCCTGCCAGCCTGTTTGGTGTGCTGACGATCCCAGACATCGCGCGGGAGGGGGCAGACTTTGTGAACCGGCTGAAGAGCGACAACGTCTGGGTGAGAGCGGGGACGGGCTCAAGGCGCGGGACGGGGGGGGCGCGCGCGCGGCCGGAGCTTGCCGGGGCGCGGCGCGGCCGCAGCACGCAGCCCGGCTTCCCTCACGAGCCATGCAGGCGCGGCCCTGGGAGCCCCCCTGCCCTGCCCTGGCGGCGCCAGGCCTGCCTCATCCACCACTAGCAGAAGGGTTGGTCGGGGACCGCAACCTCCCAGGCTGCTGCGCGCCCCCTGAAAAGCCTCGACCTCGTCAGCCCCCCCACCGTGCACATCATCCACCACTTTCACTCACATAACCCTGCCATGGTGCGGCCGGCGTGCGACCGGCGATCCCCTCAATAAGGTGGTCCTGGTGGAGAAGACGCGGACTGGCCTGGGTGACCAGGTGATGGAGCCGCTGGAGCGGTTTGTGCTGCTGGCGACGTCGAATGACATCACGCGCGCGGCCGCGGACCACGGACACGTGAGGGGACACTCTAGTGTTAGGGGCCCCAGGGGCGGCGGCGGCCGGCCGGCCGGCCCGCCCCGGGGCAGCCCCAGGGCGGCGCGCTCGTGGGGGGAGGGGGGCTGCGCTGTCGCTGATGCCGGCGTTACGTGGCGAAAGCAGGGCGTCGTCACGTGAGCAAGCATTAGACAGCGGCGCCCGCGGCTGCTGCATCGCAAGTGCTGGCGGTTCCGAAATTTGCTGCGTGTGGAGAGATTACAGAAATCTTCCGTCCTTGTAGGCGCTCCTGCAACGGCGCTCCTGTCGTTCCTGCCGCCCCGCAGAATTGGACTGCGGAGCGGAGCAAGCAGCTGGGGCTGGCCGTTAGCGGCATGCTCAAGGGCTACACCACCACCGCAGCCACCCTCATCACCGCCATGCTCAAGAGCGTAACGCGGTTTGCGATGCAGGTGGGGGTTTGCGTGTGTGTGTGTGTGTCTGGGGGTGTGCGCGCGCGTCTGCATGTGTGTGCGCGCGCGTCCGCATGTGTGTGTGTGTGTGTGTGTGTGTGTGTGTGTCTCACCTTGTCATCGAGCACGTGCGTGCACTGTTGGCAGGAGTGATTTCGCATGTGCGCTCGATCTTGGCATGCGTGCAGGTGCGCATGCGGGTCAAAAGCGTGCATCCCAGGGCAGTCCCAAGGGGGGGGGGGGGCAAAGCGCCAGGGCCGCGCTCAAACGCTCGCCGCCCCTGGTCGCCGCCCCTGATCGCCGCCGCAGGTGTTTGTGTCGATGATGCTGGGCTTCATCACGCTGTGGGACCTGCCCCTCATCACCCGGGGCGTGCAGAGCCTTAGACAGGTGGGGCCAAGAGGGAACACACACGCAGGGCGTTGCGGGGATTGCCTGGACCTTTGAAATTCTGTACTGCCCGGTTTCATGCTGGTGCCCTATTGGCGGCCGCGCCCTGCCTGCGCTGCAGCCGGCACAAACGGCAGCGACGCCCTCCACAGTGCTTCATGGATGGGCCTCCTGCATGCTCTCCCTTCCAGCCCTCGTTCTTGTCATGAACGGCCCGCCGACCCCCGCCCCGCGCGCCGCGCGCGCCGCGCGCGCCGCGGACGCCCCTCCTGCTGCGCAGTCGCGGCTGGCGCCGGTGTATGAAGAGGTGGCGCCCGTGCTGGGCGTGTTTGGTAGGCTGTTTGGCAAGGCACTCGAGGCGCAGGTGGGCGCTGTCGCCAGCTGAAATTGATTGTCATTCACCCTGCAATGACCGACACCGGCTGAACCGGCACCTGAGCAACCGGCTGCGCCGGCGTCCTCGCCGGCGCCCGTGCTTTCGGCCGCGGCGGCGGGCCTGGGCGCGCCCGCGTGCGCTTTCGCGGCGAGCGCTGCCGTGCCACGCCTTGTGTCGCTCTGTTCGTGCCGCGGCCGCCTCGACCCCTGCAAACACGCCACACCCCGGGCGCGCCCCTCCCCGCCCACCTGCCCGCGCGCCTCCCCAATCCCCGCCCCCGCCCCTGCGCCGACCCTGCACCCGCAGTCGCGCATCGCGCTGTGCAACGCGTGCCTTACCGCCGCCGGCATGTGGGCGCTCGCCATCCCCGGCGTCGGGCTGCTGTCCCTCTTCGTGTTTGTGTGCAGCTTCATACCCATCGCGGGGGTCATCATATCCACAACACCCATCGCGTTTGTGGCTCTGACCGAGTACGGCTTTGTGAAGCTCGCGCTCGTGCTGCTGATGGTTGTAGGGGTCCACTTCGTCGAGGTGCGGCGATCTGGCGTGATCTGATCTGATCTGATCTCATCTGATGTGATCTGCAGGCGCGCCATGATCTGAGGTCGCGGCGCGCGGGATTTTCGCAGTCGCGTCGAGCGCGGCCTCCCTCAACTGCCCAGTGCTGCCGAGATTCAGCGAATCGCGGCGTCATGCGCGCACCAAACCGCGGCCCCCTTCCCTGACGGCCCACCTCCCGGCCCTCCGACGCCTCACGTCACAAACCTGAATCCACGCACCCGAATTCACATACCTCGACCCAGACCCCTTGACCCGCACCCCTAATCCACACGCCTTGCTCCTCACGCCTCGGTCCACTCACGCCTCGGTCCACCCACCAGGCCTACGCGCTCAACCCCGCGATCTACAGCGCGCACCTCAAGCTGCACCCCCTCATGGTCCTGTGCGCCCTGGTCGTGGCAGAGCACAGCCTGGGGGTCTGGGGGCTACTGCTGGCGGTGCCCCTCACAGTCTTCGCCCTCGACTACCTCATTCGGTGCGAGATCTAGCGGCGAAACCCCCGTGCCCGCGCCTGGCGCCCGCCTCGCACGCGCGCGCTCGCCGGCAGCCCGCCCGCCGCGGGGCGGGGCCGATGGTGCCCCGCCGGCCGCCCCGGCGTTTTCGAGCCCGGCCGCGCCCCCTCGTGGCGCGAGCGCCTCTTGGGAGCCGCGCCCGCCCCCCGAC